TTAGACAAGCATACTTTGCTATTATGCTAGCCATAACACGTTTTTGTAGTTTCTTGTGTTATTGATACTCTTTTTACAAATTTGCTTGGATTGAATATTGACAGTAATAAAACGGTTCACCTGTACTTCAGTAGCGTTGTAGCATCTGTTGTAGTAGACCTCTCGTAAAGCATTTTAATATTGTAGGAGGCCTTGGGCTTGGAACTTTTGATGCTTGTTTAATTACTGAAGAATTAGCGTATGGATGTACTGGGATTCAGACTGCCATTGAAGCAAATTCTTTGGGGGTAAGTTAACTTAGAAAAATTATTGCCTAACTGAACTGTTAACCAGATATAGTTACTACTAGATTAGGTTGGAAGGGAATACATAAATATGAATGTTTATGAAAGTTTATTGTGTCTCACTGTGGGACCTTTTTTTTTTTTAATCTTGTTACCTTACATAGAAGTTGAAGATTTTTACTGAAAAATACAAATAGCAAGGTATAATGAAAATGTTTTTTCCTCCACTCAGCCATCGGTATAAAAGCTTTCTCCTAAGGCGAGCTCAGGGAGGACAGAAGCTTCTCTTGGAGAAGAAGGGCGAAAGCTCGCTTGATCTTGATTTTCAGTATGAATACGGACTGAAAGCGGAGCCTCACGATCCTTCTGACCTTTTGGAATTTAAAGAAATCAACTAAAAATATTTTTTTTAAAAGGAAGAAAGCTTTCTCTACATTTTTATTTATTTTGGCCTTGCTAATCTTTATTGCCAAATATCTTTTACTGTATGAATTTTTTTCTTTTTCCATTTTTAAGTTCTGATTGATTTATTGTCAGTCATGCTCAACATTCATATGTTTATTTTTTCTATTGCTGATAAATTGATATCAAATATAATAATTGGTAGAACCCATTTTCTTTCCAAAGGAGCACAAGATTATTCAATAATGCCTGGAGTTCTGACTCCAAAGCTCTGTCATTCTGGTCCTGTTGTCTCCAGTTCTTCGAGCCCTCTCTGTCCTTGAGGAGACACTTTGGCTGCTGCTTCAGTGTTAATTCTTAGATTAGGGCAAGGCCCAAAGTCACCATTCAGGAGAAAGATTGGGATGATTTGTGGCCATTGTGGCAGTTATGAAATTACCAAGCAATTTATGACGCCTGCTATTTTCATATACCATGTCACTCACCTTAAATTTCTTTATTAGAATAATTTAGTATAGCAAATTGTAATATATTTTATTACCAAGACCTACATATAATTGGAAATGTTATAAATGTACTTAAATTATCACATTTATTTCCACACGCTTAACCCTGGATCTTAGAGGCAGAATAAAGGACCCATTGGGGAAAAAATATTGCTTCTTTTGTGTTGAATTATAGCATCTCTGAACTTACATATTTACTGAAATATCTTGCTTTTCTTTAATTTTCTTTGGTAGCAAATGCCTGTAATTATTGCGGGGAATAATGAACAGCAAAAGAAATATTTGGGGAGGATGACTAAGGAACCACTAATATCTGTGAGTATCTGTAACTGCTGTTTTAGTTCACATTTAAAGATGAAAACAGGAATGTTATTTCTCTATTTTAATCTACATGTATATACTGTGTCATAACAGGTGTGTTAGGGTTCTTTAGAGAGATAAAACCAAATTGCTGATAATATATTTATTTATAAAGATAATTAGATTTATAACAAGAAATGAACTCTTAAATCATATACAGGTAAATACATAATACAAGAAATGAATGGTTAAATTATAAAGCACTACAAATGGCTCAATTCAACTCACTCCCGTGAGAGAGAGTTGTGAGAGACTAGCAGTCCTTCAAGTCTAGTCTGCTGCCAGATCTTCCTCTATTTATAGAGAGAGCTAGGCTATGTCAGCACAGCAGCCAATCACA